GTGCTGTCCTAGTTGCCTGCATAGCATCCAACCAATGGATTACCAAACTTTGCTTTGCAATCTCCTCTCTTTGTCCAGACTCTCTTTTGGAGTCCTCACATCCAACTGTGGCATCAAGACTCTCTTCCCTGCCCAAGTGAGTGGGAAACATTTGTGGACCAGCTTTTACTCTAGCTGTTTTTCTCTTGTAGCCCACAGGGATAGTAGTTGGCAGCTTCTTCACGGGGCGCAGTTCTGTCTGGCACAGGTCAGAATCCCTGACTCTGCCGGTTTGTGGTGAGAAGGATCCCTGGTGCACATGTGTCTGGAGACTGTCCACTTTCTGGACATTCCTACTGCAGCTGCTTTCCAGCACTTCTCCAGACATTGTCTCCTGCCCCACCTGCAATAGTCGTAAATAACAGCATGGCGTTACTCTTCTTATGCTGTTAGCTGACAAATCATTTTGTCAGCCCATGTGGGCAGAGTTTCTTTCTGTGACATCTGCTCCCTGCTTAGGGGTCTTTTCACGCAGCATCTAAATCTTGGAAATCCCTCTCCTGGGATACCAGAGTTGTATGTTCCGTGATATGAGAGCACTGTCAGGCACTAACTAGAGACTGCATACACAAGAGGTCAAACTGGATGTATTTGGCATCTCAAAGCTTGTTAGTGCTTGTAGTTTTAATGTTGCTTGAAAGTAGAAAACTGAAAGTACATCTTGTTGGGCATTTCCCCCTAGCTCTTCATATTAGTGATTAAAAACACCATGGGGAGGGAAGAGTGTGGGGATGAAGGTAGCAAACTCCACTTTACTTTAGTTTAACCAGCTGTGCTCATGGATGGGTGCTTCTGCTGAATGTCAAGTTAAGAGTGCAATCCAGGGGGGAGACTGTGGTATGATAAAGAACAGAAAATGGCATAGATGTGAAATGAGGAGGTAATTAGATATAGGGAATAAGAGGAAGTGGCAAGCCATTCATGTTTTGACGTGGAAGTTAAACTGAATGAAGTTGAGAGGGCTTGTCCTGTCTGGAGTGATAGTTTAATTTGAAACCTGGGAAGAAAAAAGAAATGGAAAAAAAAAACCCAAACAAAACACCGCATGGCAGTGGCAGCTTCCCAGTAGCAGTTTAAAAATTGGAAGTATGGGTGAAAGCATTTAAATGGAAAACTCTTGAAAAGGTTGATTTCTGACTTCTAATAGGGTTTCCATTGTGGGCTACAACTGACAGGGTATTGTAATTCTTGAAATACCAACACAGACTAGACCTGATCCTTCCGCATGAAATGATTTGGGTTCCAAGCGAAAGAGCGGGAATGGGGCCTGCTTCATGAAACCAAAGCAGAGGGACAGCAGTGTTTTAATTCTTCCAGTGCTTTTTTCTTGTAATCCTCAGTTCCTGAATTCATATGACTGCATGAGGATATCAAATTTCGAATGAGTAGGGGGGAGTAAATTTATAGTCCTGATGTTTGCAGTGGAAATCTTGGAAAATATGAACTCTGAAGGTTCAAACAGAAAGCAGAAAGTCCCATCATTAAAACTTGTACTTTAAAATCCTTGGAGTTGTCCATAATGTGAAAGTTGTATTACAAGGGTTACACAGAAAAATGACAAGAAATTGTGATGTTATTTCCTGTTCTCTATACCTGGCATGGGCCAGACTTACAAAAGGGTAAGTTTAAGTTAAGCTCATAACCAGACTTCCTTTACAAGTTATGTTTCCAGTTCCCTCTTCCGTCATACTTAACTGCCTCCACACTACTGGATTTTGTTCTAGCAGTTTCTGACCTGGTATTTCCATGTCTGCTCTCAAACTCGGGGTCAATATGAATGGAAAATTCCCTTATGTCAATATGCCTGTGGAGATATCAGATCTAACGGAAGAATTTCAAGCACATGGTCAGTATGAGGTTTGCTTCTTTTTTAAAATACTTCTTCTTGAAACACAAGAAATCTTGATCTTGCATTGGGTTTTTTATTAAAATTTGGTGGTAGCGTAAATGAAAATTAGTCCTCCCTTGGATTTTTCAGCATAAAATCTGTGGCTTTCATCTTCAAAGCCACAACAGACAGTTCTGAATGTTCCTTCTTTTGTGGCCTGAAAGAATTAAGAAAACATGCACATGCTTAATTTCTAATGTGTGTTTTAACTTAATCTCATAACAAGATTGGTGGAAGAGAAGCAGGCACTGTGTTGAAGCAATGAGAACAAATCTCTAGATTTTTCTTTTTAAGGGCTAAACAATCAAATTTTTTTCCCCCTTCCATTATTTCCTTTTGTCCTAATTTACTTGCACTTATTTCCATGTTTTCTTCCCTAGAGGGAACTGTGAAGAAAGGATTCAGAGTTCTGTCTAATTATAGTGTATTGCTGTTATAATGGTTAATGTACCTCGGCAGAAAAATATCTTAAGACAGTTATGTCTGAAACTGGGCTTTGCTGGGGTTTTTTTTTTTTTTGTATTTCAGAGGCGCTTTACTCAGTTCTCTGCATTTGTTGGTAAGTCAGTAAATCTGAGCCACCTCAGATCAATTATGAAAATGGGGAAAATTTCTAGACATGAAGGAGCATATGCAGTTATGAGAAACGATTTTATTAACTTATGAAAGACCAGTGAAATTGAGGAAGGAGGAGTGACCAACCTAATCCAGTTTCTTTGCTCAGAAATAGAGCCTTCAAACTGGCTCAAACTCATGCAGTATTGAGAGTATGCTTGGCTAAAGGTCTTCAGTTTGAAATTTCAGTTTGAATTTCTTTAATTTCTTTTTCATAAGATATTGTCCTGTCTTTAGTGCTCTTTATAACCATTTTTTTCCCAGAGTGTAAAAAACTACTTCTACCAAAGGAGCCTCGGTTAGCAGTTTTTCAAACCAGTCTTAGTAGAGGGGTAGACTGCATTCGGAACAGTGAAGAACCACTTGGCGGACATAGTCTACAAATTAACTGACCACAGTAATAGGGTGCATTAAGAGAGGTCCCTCAGTTTTGCGATTCAAGATAGCCAGCTGGGAGACTTCGTTGCTTCCTGCGGTGGCCTTCTTGCTGTGTGGTGCAGCCTGTTTCCTTGCCTGTCGAGTCTCATGCTTTTTGTGCCTTTTACCTGCATGCTGCTCTCTGCCTTCTCCCATGGTGCTGGGGCTCTGGTTTGATGTTTAGCAGTAAAACATCTAATAAATTCATCATTTGTGTATCTGCTCAGCCAATTCTTTAATTGGGTCCTACTCTTACAAGTGGTTAAGTAAACTGACTGGATAGATTGCCTTGCACTGCACACAGGTAATTAAGTATTTGAGTGACTAGTGGGTTTTATGGCTGTGTTTTGTTTTCATCCCAGTGGGGCACTGTAGTTACTGGGGGGATGACGTGAAGCTTGTTGTGGCTGACACACGTTCAACATTTTGCTTCCAGAAATCACATAATACTTTGTTTTTCTTGTGGCATATCTGTTGTTGAGGCATATGTAAGGAAGAGTCAATCTAACTTGACTTTTCGCTTCTAGTCATCTGAATTAGTAGCAGAGCAGTGTAAGCTGGTAGAGGAAAGGCTGAAGGTTACCTAACAAATAGCAGTAACTAAGCCGATTCTTTGCTTCCATCTGTGACAAACTCCTCCAGTCCCTGTATATCCTTTCTGACATATGCAAGTTGTAGATAAAGTTGGCTGTCATGGGAGACTGCTGATGAGGGGAAGGGGGCAGTGTTAAAAACACTGCGGTATGGGCACACTTAAGTACCTCCTACACTTAGTAGGGGACAGCTTTCTTGTGGTCCATCCAGACTTGTTATTTTCCATAGTCTGAAATTCCAGGCTTCAGGTTGACTTTTGATGGATGGTAGCCACTTGGACTGAGATTGCTAGTCACCATGGTATGGAGTACAGATGTCCATCTGACCCCTGTCAGCCAGAGTGTCAGGGAAGCACAAACTTCCTTGTGGGTAATGGCAGAATTTTTTTTTTTTAATAGAGCTCACCAAATGGTACTCTGTCCTAACTTTCCGTCAGGCTTTCCCTGCCCCAGTTTGTCCACATCTAGGAGGTTTGTCATCCATACTATCATATGGACTGTTACTGGCCTCTGTGTTGGCACTAGTTTCTGTTTTCTTCTATTTACTTCTGAATCTAGACTCCTGTGGGCTCAGAAGCCTTCTGGGAGCCACCTTTGTTATATTTCTTTTTAAAGCTTTCTTGGAGCACAGACAAAGGATTCAGGAGTAGGGGAAGTGGAAAGGAAGTGTGGGAGCAGTATGCTTACCGACTCTAACTACGAAATCAGTGAGACTTGAAGTACACAGTTGTTAGTACGGCTTTTTTATTTTCTTTTTTTTGTTCATTTGTTTTGTGTTTTCAGAATGGAACCGAAAATCTTCTGTGTACTTGCTCTTGCAGCTGTATAGGACAGGAAGCTGATTTAAGGAGAGAAACAGAAAAGTCTTTATTGCCTGCGAAAGGAAAAGCAAGATTTATATGCTTTGAAAAGGTATGTATTAGAAGACTTACTTGGTAAAATGTCTGGTAGTCATCAATACTCATTTGCATTGAGGTTCTTTCCCTCAGGAGCTGTCACTTCCTGCCATTCACTACAGAAATTTCCCCTAGCTTTCTGTTTTCAAGGGGAAAGCTAGCCTGTCCTTGTTCCCAAGATTCAGCCTTTGAAAATAATGTCCCCTTAATCATAAGTCTGTATATCTAAAGAAACAATTCATTTAGCTGTGCAACAGCAATTACAATTGTTTTCAGTCTAACTGTAAAGCAAGTTCTGTCTTTTCATCGGCATTCAATGGCAGCAAACTTGATTAGGCCCTTTAGTGAATAATGGAGGTACTACAAACCAGAAAATACGCTGAGAGTATACAATATAGGCTGATTAGCAAATGCAGGAGTAAATATTATAATGTAGCTAGTCCCACTGTTTTTTTTTCTTCTTTTGATTTGTGTATTTTCATGTTCGCAGATCTACTGTAGTTTTCTGCCACTTAATGCTAACAGGAAAAAAAAAAACCCACAAAAAAACCCCAACTCATCTGCTTGAGGAGATTCTGTTGTAATGTATCCAGTGGCTGTTCCTGCACCAGGAGGTGAAGGAAATAATGGACAACATGGGAAACTTATCTTTTTCCTTTTTGTTTTTGGAGCTGTGTTGCTCTGCGCTGGATTTCTGCTTTCAGTCTTTATTCTCCAGTCATGCCCATCTGGAACCTTCAGTGACTGTAACGGGCTCCTTAAGGCCACTGGGCCCGTGCTGGCTGTGACTGGACTGGTTTGTGTTTTACTGGCACGATCAAGGGCCAGGCTGTATATAAGACAAAGACAATTGCAAAATGAGCAGGTGTACAGCCTTGTTTTTTGTCGCGGGAGCTGTCAGTTTGCCCAGTTTCTCATATTTGGATTCCTGTTTTTAACTAGTGGAATGCTAATTAGCATCCTGGGCATTTGGGTTCCTGGCTGCAGCCCCAGCTGGCACAGCATACAGCTCAACCACACTGGCAGTTCTGATGTGGACCTCCAGGGCTGTGGATTCCTGTCACTTCAAATCATGGGACCTTTGATTGTACTCACTGGGTTGTGTTTCTTCGTGATAGCTCATGTTAAAAAGAAACAAAACTTAAATCTCAACCAAGAATCTTGCGAAAGTGAAGAACATCCTCAGAGCCCTGAATCTTTTCAGGTTACAGTAGGTGCGTAAATAATCTGTCAACTTTACATTTGAGAGTTAGTAGGGTTTTTTCCCACTACTGATTTACCTGTGAGTATGACTTATTTGAGCTCTAAGCATGTCAGTTCTGGCATGTCAAACCAGCCAAAACAGAAAAATGTTGTTTTGTCTTGTATGTTTTCTGTATGTCAGTTCAGTTACCTTTCTCTCAAAGACAAAACCTCTCCTTTGGCATAAAAAGAAAGGTCTGACTGTCTGTGCAAAAGAAGCCATGTAATCTGACATAAATGAGTCCAATCCCACTTCCTTTCCCAAAGGGTGTAGCTGACGCTGCAAATCACAAGTCTAATGACTTCTGTGACTATATTTAAGATTTATCTGAGCCTTGAGCTCCGACCTCTCAAACAGGAGAATCTGACTCATAAGCAGTGTATTGTATTTTTTTTAATCATGGCCACATCTTCCATCAGTCAGAAGTGTAATTGCAAGATGCTTCTGTTAATTGCACAGTATTTGAGTAAATGTGATATATTAGCAGGGAATGCTCCCCTGCACATAGCACTGCTTTTAATACCCCATGAATACATTCTATGCATAGATAATTCTGATAACTTTCTAGCTCTCGGAAAGGATTAATGAGTCAATCATAATATTGCTTGACTGCCATCTGACTGACTGGACTTGAAATCCATTATGCAAAACTTTTTTCCTTCTGCCTGTCAAACCAATGTACAGACCTGTAACGCGGGGACCCTCAGAAAACATGAGGGTTTAAAGTCAGTTTTCCAGCCACTGGGATAAATCAAAGGGTCATAGAAAGGAATTCAGATTGTCTTTAAAGACAAGAAAGCAAAATTAGTGGATTCCTTTTATACTTCCATCAGGAAAAGTAAAACTGAAAGGTTGAAGTCTGGTTGGCATAGTGACATTCTAGAACAGTGGTGAATCAGCTAGAAAACACCCCCACCTCATTCAACATTTTTGATGCTCCCTGACCTATCCCTGCACACAACTTACAAAGGAAGAAAGGTGCCAGGCAGCTGTGAATGTTTAAATAAATTATGCAAACTCAGTGACTGATAGGAACTTTCTGTTTTTTTTAAAAAAAAAAAAAATTTGAAACTCCTCAATTACAAAGTTGAAATTGGCAGATATGCTGCACAGTACACTTAATAGTGAATTATGCATCAATAGCGTCGTGGTACTGTTAGTAGTGTGCCTTCAGCTATGAGTAATTTAGTAGGGAAACTGTCAAGGCACACAAAATCAGTCATCAGAACTATTAATGACTTGCATACTTTTGTTATAATGCTGCAGTAGATGTGGAGAAACTTGAACTATTTTAGATATGTGAGGAGGTACTTGCCTACCCTTAAAGTGAGCCAACAGTAACTGTATGCTTTGCACTTCCAGTTTCTGCAGACAGCCAACAGTGAAGAGGTTTATGTCTCTTAGCTAGATGGAACACTCCCTGTCCCCTAGCTGTATTTTCCAAATGAAATCTTCCGTTTATGAGTATGCTGCATCTTTATTTTGGGATAATTTTGGTTTTGAACGTACCTCCAATGTACTTTAACAGCCCAGAATATAATAGTTCTGGATGTGGGATCATTGCACTTTATCTTAAAAGGTAGACAAGTAAAATACGGTAATTTCAAAGACAGGAAATATTCTAGGGTACAGTTAGAATAAACAGTGGTGCTCAATTTTTCAGAGATAGTAATTGGTGTTTTTTTTCCTAGGTGATGCTGTAATGGTATTCCCACCTCCACCACCTCCTTATTTTGCTGACCCTCTGTCACCAGCCATGACACGTTGTCTTATGTCAAGTGGTTTGCCTAGAAGTGAAAATCCTCCACCATACCACTCTATCTTCAGCAGTGGGTAAGACTGTTTTCTTCTGCTTTGGAAATGTGAGGTGTTTCTCAAGGTATCCAAGACCGTGTTCTTCAATAATCACAGTGAATCAGCTCTCTACTAGGCACTACGAAGTTTTCTAGTGCATCACTCAACTTACTTCAGATACCTTACTTGAAATGGCATTAAAATATCCTAGTATAAAAGGGGAATTGCAAACCACAGCATGTCCTTCATGAGGGTTAAATTCTTACCAGTTTATTATGACTGAAGAGAACTTCTGAAGTGAAAACGAAGTCTTAAATCAGTGGCCTTATTTAAATATACTTAGATTAGATTTCTTCCACAGATTGTCCAGGAGAAGGTGCCCCTGACAGCAGTGCCCCAGTGGCATGATATCCGCACTGCCAGATTTTAGGAAACCTCTGTAGAACCAATGCAGCGAGCCCTTCATGACGCCTATCCACAGGCCCTGTGACCCTGGGAATGCTACTTCGGTGTGTTCTGTTCTCCCTGTGACCCTTATCTCACTACCTTGAGGAAATCCAAGGTGCTGGTCTACCTTGTTCATATTGTGGCAGTGTGTTGAGATAAAAGGATGCCTTGATATTGCTGGGAGAAGAGCAGGAGGCTCCAAGGAGCTTAAAAGGGAGGTTGCAATGTCAACTTCATCTCAAGATGTTGTACCTTACGCATGTAGCCACTCTTCCATACACTGGGTACAGCTGATTTGCTACATGCTGCCACCACTGAGCTCAGGGAGCAAGAGCTGCAGACTGACTGAAGAGTTGTCTGCACCACAAGAACTGGCGGGGTTATTTGTCCCCTGTGGGTTACCACCAGTGGGCTATTCACTTCAGGGTGAAAGAGGTCACTGCAAGGGCCACATAGTAGGAGCCAGAACTAGATCTGGCCAGGAGAGCTAGATGCCACATGCCTGGAGACCCCAAGTTATTTTCAGGCCCTTAAAGCCAAGTCAATTTTGCATCATTAACTTTTGGAAGGTCCTATGTCAGCTTGGTTTTGATCTGTCAGTCAGTTGGTAGTGTGGGACTTTTTCATTGGATGACTTTAGATTACAAAACGGTACCTGCAGCATCCCAAGCACCATCACTGCAGCAAGAGCCCCAGCCTGCCTGACTGTGTCCAATCGTGGTAGTTGTTGGGCCATTGCTTTAATAGCTTTCCACTATACTCCAGACTTCTCCGCTCATATGAGGCAGTGCATTCCATGACCAGCTGTACCAGCTGTGTGCCTGATGTCGGTACTTTTTCAAAACTCTAGTGCTAATCTTCCCTTTGAAGCAAGCAAGCACAAACCCTCTTCCTGCCCAAAGAGCTAAATGCCACAGGAGGAGGATACTTGTGTTAGCAATGGTGCTTATTCTTGTTACCACACTCTGTGCAGCCATGTCTGTGGTTTTTTAGTCATCCTTTGAAGTATACCTGGTGGATTCTTGAGGCTCAGCCCCACTGTGCAAGGCACTCTGTTCTCTAGTCAATCACCATCAACAACAACTCATATTGTCTTCCATTTTGTAGCGCCCTTCTCCAAACATTTTCTCCCCATCTTCGTTGGAGACAGCAGATGCCTCCTCCTGTTGCTGTTATCACAAGCCAGACTGTCCTTCTGCCTTTCCTCAAAATCTTTTTTTTCTAATGTAGAATAAACACCTCTCTATCAAAAAACCTACTCATTCTTCCTTGCTACTGTGCAACATTCTAGTGCACAGTGGGACTGGCCCCTAAACAAAAAGATGATCATGTAGATACCACCTAAGGAAGAGACACACTCAGTGTTTGGTTCCCACTGACTGAGGTCCAGCTTGAGGTTGATGACTTGTGCTGAGGGATTCAATGCCTAATAAACCCTAGAAACACACATAATTCATTCAGTCTGCTGTTTTTCCACTTGAATTGTTTCAGAGAGAGTACTTTCTGTACAAAGCTGATGAGAATCTGTTGATTACTCAGTGCCTTAAACACCTGTCAATTCAGGATGACAAGGGTGGATGTGGGGATGAGAAGATGTCAGGGTTGATCAAGCAAAAGTGCTTTCCAGAGAGCAGTGACTCTCATGACCAGGCACAAATTGTTGTGTGAAGAAACATTGTATTTTGTTAAGTATAAAAGTCTCTCTCTGTTCTCAGCTTGCAAGGGAAATACATCAGCTCTCAGAGCTATACTACTGCAATCGAGGGACACCTAGAGCAAGTAGGAGAGAAAATAAACTCCTGCTGCTGAAAGAAGGAGTTTACATGAAGTCTCTGTGTTCTTATTGGGCTGGGTGAAGGCATCCACAGCTGGAAGGTGTTTCATACCAGCTGCAGCTAGTCCTGGAGCTAGACACCACACTGAGCCTGTCTGTGCTACAGCTCCAGCATACACTGTAGTTCTGGCATGGACATCCCAGATGTACATACAAAGCAAATGGATGTGTGTGGAGGAATGACTTGCCCGGAGTGTGAACCTGGACTTCTAGTAGCCCTGAGACAGCCAATTCAAATATGGTCCAAGGACACCCTCAAAAAACATTTCAGTTTAAATACATTTAGAAGACCAGGCTGGAGTGGATGGGAGAAATACGAGAACATACATGAAAGCTGTGTTCTGCTGTAGCCTTACAAGCAGCTGAGAGACAGAGTGACTCTTGTACCACCTGTCCATAAAAGTACAATGCACAAAACTGAGGGCCACAAGTCCTCTCTACCCTATAATTTTAGGCCCTGAGTTCAGATGTGGGCTGCCTGCCCACTTGCTTGGTAAAATGTGTGCATTATCAAAGGGTGTGAAAGAATGCAAGCAGCACACCCTGCGCGGAAAAAGGAAAAAAAGGGTGGTGGGGGAATGGCAAAAAAGCTAGTTCCTCAGACTTCCTGTGGGCTTTCCCTGCTGGTGCACGTACCAGGTGACCCCTCCTTCCTTTACCCATTCTCCTACAAAATCCCCTGCAACTGGATCAACTGTCTCCACCCAGAATGTCCAGCTCAGGTGCTCTGAACTTTGTGTGTGATTCCATCAACTTAATCATTGATTGCCTTCTCTGTCTTGTGAGCATATGTACACAAAGAGGCAGCTTGTAGCCCAGCTTGTTCGGGCAGTTTCTAGTGGAGCAGACAAAACACCTCAACCTTGGATGCAGAAACCCTGACCTTCTGCTTTGGTGTTCTGTGGCTGGGGGTGCTCCAGCTTTTGCCCTTCCGTGCTCCCCAGGGTCCTCCCAGAGACCCTGTGAATTGATACCACCTCTGGGTATATCAGTCGATCATGCTCTCCCATGGCGCAGCACTTGGTAGCAGCCAGGGCATCTTGACTCGTGCAAATTGGTTCCCAAGCCCTTTCACGGAGGAGAAGCAGTGGCCTCGTTCCCCCTGACATAGTGAAGGGGGGGAAGGGAATACCCATTTCATACATGGGTGGTTACTAGGCAAATGTGATTTGCCTTCTCAGTCCATTGCTCTATGTTCTGTCAGCAAGTGCTGTGGTGGAGGCTGTGCTGGATGAGAGAGCTTGTAGGAAGCTGAGTTGTGGTCTGATCCCAGAAGTGGTTGTTTTTTTCCTGCAATCTGTCATATAGCACTTCAGCATTTCTCTTGTAGTATGTTCTCTTCTGTCCTTTCAACACACACCCTCACACACCAGTAACACCACTGAAGATGAGGTGACCATGTTCTGTATTCCTGCTTCTCACGCAGTATTGGTGGGGGTACAGATGTATGCAAAAAGGCAAGAGTCAGCTCTGGGAGCAAGTCGTAAGGAACGAGTTCTTCTTCCCTTTCCTTGGGAAGCAGCTGAAGCAATGTGCTGAGGGCCAGTTCCAGGGTAAGATGAGCAGGGTACCAGAACCATGCGGGTGCAACCAATTGGGATCCAGTTATGATGGTCAGAGCAGGGCAATGAATACTTGGCCGCTCCTTGACTGTCGCTGGGAACTTAGCAGTCTGGTCGTGTCCAGTTGCTTCTGTTTCTCCAGCTCTGAGCATATGTCTGTCACAGGTTGCTGGAAAGCTTAATGAAAGTTTCAAGTTGCCTTTCCTGTAAGATCTCAAATGGCTAAGGTTTGTGATTTTTGCAATGCAATTCTAAGTCTAGTAACTGTCTTTCATAGGGGAAGGGGACAGTGTGTATGTGGTAGACCGTAAAAGGGAAGATACATTAGGAGCTGAGGAGAAAGCTTAATGAAAGTTTCAAGTTGCCTTTCCTGTAAGATCTCAAATGGCTAAGGTTTGTGATTTTTGCAATGCAATTCTAAGTCTAGTAACTGTCTTTCATAGGGGAAGGGGACAGTGTGTATGTGGTAGACCGTAAAAGGGAAGATACATTAGGAGCTGAGGATCGGA